TGAGGGATCTGCACTGGAGCCAGGAAATGATGCACAAGTAAGAACCAGAGCTCCCCCGAAAGGTTCAACAGCCACCTTCAGCAACAGTGAGGTCCTGCACTCCTCCAATGATCAAGATGGCTGAGTTCCCATCAGGAAAGCCAATGCAGCAAGCTTGTCCAGGAGACTGGCAGTGCACCATCTTCCCCTCTGGAGCCAGAAAGCAATACTAAGAGTGAGAATGAGAGTTCCACCAAAGTGAACCAAAGCTATTCTCAGTGCCAACAAGGTCCTGAGGTCCTCAGAGGATGAGAACAGCCAAGTTCATCAGGAAGGCCAGCATGACAAGCTCCTCTCAGAGAACCAACAGTTCTTTACAGCTTCTACCAGCTCCAACAGCCTTTCTCAGTTCCTAACAGCTTCTCTCAGCTCCCAACAACCTCCTTCTTCTCTAGTTCTGCCTCTTGTGCTGCTCGTAACAATTCTCAGGTAGGCCTCCCATACTCAGCGCCACACTTACTCAGTTTAGCTGTGGGATTATAAATTGACCAACAGTTGTCCTTCCACTACAGACTCATACAGGCAACTATGCAAGGGCTTTCCAGGCCTTCAGTCTTGAACTGACACTTTACCCTTGATGTTTCTTGCTCTAAGCTTCCCTCCCCTGAACAGCTACTGAGAACTCTCTGGCCTCTGAGCCTGTAAGCTTACCTAATATATATAAATCCACATATACATATAGATTCAGTACATCTGTAAAATGCTAACTAATATAAATCTCAGTACCAGGACTGGTTCTGTAGGAAAAGCATTGTAAGGAGAATTTCTCTAATCGGTGTAGTGGTTTTTGGCATTGGCTCCTTACTTTGATGAGGCTTAAAGTCATTATAGCTTCTCCTGATAATGTAGAAAGAATGGATAGACCATGGTGTGAACTGTTGAAAGAAATAAACATCACAGATCCATTTGATAGTCCTAATTTATTACTTGTGAGATGCAAAGATTTTATTGACTTAAGGCATTACATTTTTAAGAATTTTTGGAAGATTAAGAAATATGATGTTGGCTGGTTGTTCCTAGCATCTCTGTGCAGAGTAATGAAAGAACAGAATTAGCTCAAAGATTCAATTTCCCCAGTGCCAGACTTGCCTAAACAACCTACAGGCTCCTAAATGTGTCCTGAAGAGGAATCTTCTCTCATGTATCTGTAGGGCTGAAGTTACTGAAATCCAAGTATAAGTCATCACATGGTTAACTAAATTACAGTGCACATTTAACCCCCTGACTGGAAGGATAGCTATAGTTAAAGTGAGGCAGTAATTGGAAAAGAATGAAAACCTATAAATTGGGATCGAGATGTTTGGGAGAAACCTGATGAACCTGCAGACATTGAATTCCTAAATTCTGATATATTTATTTTACACCCCACCCTCCGTGACAGAGGTATCCCTGCCTCACCTCCTGTTGTGTTGGCATTTGCTGATCTGCCTGAGGAAACTAATTCTTTGTTACCCGTGGCAGTAATACCCTTCCCTGATGCAGTTCCCAAGCAAAACACTGCAGATGCTTCTCAGAACCTACCTTCACACCTCATTTTTGCCTCTCACTGTCTAACCAGGCTTAAATCTTAGAAGTCTAGAGGTGAGGTACGCAGCATGACCAAGTTGACATGGCAGAATGGACAATCACAGGCTGAATTGGTAAGTGTAGTTTAATTTTAATGAGCCTTCAATACCTTGTGAAAGAGCTAGGATATATTCAATGAAATAAGTGCTGCAAATGCAAATATCTACAATAGTCAAACAAATAACAAGATGAAGTGAGTTTGGCAGAGGAGACAGGGTATACTAGAGTATGCTAGAGGGCCAGCTCCACAGCCAGAAGCTCTCAGCTTTCTCGGCTGAGATTTTGGATTGTCCAGTATTATCAGTTTCGTTTATCCTTTTCCAAAAGAATATAAATATATAGGTTTGATGTAAAATATTCTGATTTTTAACATACTACATGGTCACATTCATGCTTTTCTTCAGAATAAAATCTGTTATAAATGTACCAGGACACAATCCCTGCTGTGGGAGAACTGTGAGGCTTTTGGACTAAAGATGAGATACCAAGATAACTGCGTTTTGTGAAAACTAACTGTTTGATGTGTGTCTAATACATGTTTTGCTAGCTGTGATCTCCAAAATATTACTTTACAAAGATAACTTTGTGAAAAACAGAACTAATTGGTTCTAAATAGTGACAGGAGCAGAATTAGCAATGTGCAGATTGCAGTTTTCAAGGAAGGCGACAACCACATCTCCCAGAGCACACATTCTTCAGCATCGTGACCTTGCCACTTCTTCAAGAAGTGGAACCTGTCTTCCCTCTCACTGAATGTACGCTAATCTTAGAGACTCACATGTCCAGTAGAATTTAGTGGAAATGATGCTTTGTGATTTCCAAGGCCAGGTCAGAAGGAGTGTGGCCAGTCCTGTCTTTAACTCTCAAGATGCTCCTTTCCAAACATATGCTCTTTTGAAATGTGAAACGACTGGCATGTTATTTTACCCTCTTAAAACTTAATCTTTAGGCTGAGAGAAGCTGACATCACATGGGAAGACAATGTATAGCCTCTCCAGAGAGAGAGAGAGAGTTCAGGGAGCAAGCCCAGTCTATCCAGACTAGGTGCCAGATGTGCAAGGAAACGTAATTCCAGTCACCAACCTCTTTAGTTCTTCCAGGTCGTTCAAGTCATTCCCAGTGAAGCTTCAGACATTACATCCTGAGCCCTGCTCTGACTAAATTCCTGACATCTAGATAAATTTTATGAGCCTTATAAAATGTCTTTTTATGCCACTAAACATTTGGATGGTTTGCTTGTGACAACAGCTTATAAGAAATCCATTAACTACCTAGTGGATCACAAATATAGTTTAAATATATATGTATGTAAGAATGTACTATCCAGTGTGAAAACTGGGGGTCAATGATCTGATGCAGATGCAGATGTGGATGAAGGAAAGAAGGAAAAAGAAGAGAGTGGTAAAAATACATTCTTTATTTCCAATCAGCTTCTAGGTGATTCTGATAGAGATATTTCCAACCATATTAATTTTCAAGCAGGCAACTTATAACCCTCATAGAAACTTCCCTAAAGAACTGAAGGATCCCAAGATTCATTTGTGCAAAACACAGGAACTCTGGGTGTTCTTATTATTCAATTCAGCAAGCCTTCCTTGGAAGTCTAAGAGGTACCACTCCAGCAGTCACCTTTGCTCAGAGAGTTTATTCCCACATCATACATGGCATTCAGGTGTGAAACTGGACTTCCCTCTGGGGTTCCTCATGCAGTCCAGTCTAGTCAGGGCTGAACTGCTGACTCTTGGGAAGCCCCTTTTATTTCTGGTTTTTTTTTTTGTAATTAAATGTGTTGATCTGGGGGTACATACACAAGGTATGACACTCAGCACTAAAAAAACATGGTCTCTAAATATTAATCAGAATGACAAATATAATTATACCTTTATATATTTGTCATACACAAGTAGGGATGTTAGGCAATAGCCCAACAAAGAAAAGGATTAATGAGATTTTTTTAAAGTTAAACCAAAATGTTTATATACTTACTTTCAAGAGGCTGGTCAACATTGACTAGAATTTGGGAGAGAATAAAAGTTTCAAGCCTATAACATTTGAATGATAAAATAGGAGGCCCCAAGAGCATTTCTCTCTCTCTCTCTCTCTCTCTCTCTCTCTTTCTCCTTTTGGTTTTTTCTTTAGATAATGTCACTAAGCTAACATAAAAAGGAGTAAATTTTAAAGCAATTCTACAACAATGTGGGTGGAGTTAATACTACTGTTTTTAACTAACCGTATTTCCTAACTTTATTCCATAGTCCCTAACTTCCTTTACTAAAATATATCATATTTTTCAAATATGTTTTATGGAATAGCCTAAGATAGTTACACTGATTGTTTGAAAAAATCTCTAAATCTGCAAATATGCTTTGTTTCCGTTTCATTATTTTTAAATGTTGCTTTGCTTTCATTCTTTGTATTCTTTGGTACAAAGTAAAATAATTTTGTTCTTCAATCTATCTTTATTTAATCATGACTTGATCTTGGATAAAATCAATTTATACAGACTGAAATTTTTTTCTCAGTTTTCTTCCATAAAACAAACCCCCCAAAAATTTGAAGATTTTAAAATTGACTTTAACTTACAAAAATGAATATTATAAATATTCTCCCTGTTTGCATTGCTGAAAGTACAACACAACATAAATTACAGATTAATTTCCCTTGACACCTAAGCTATGCAAATTTTTAAGTTGGAAAGTCCAGAGCAATCAATTTGCCCTGCATTTGTTTTACAGATACAGTCTCTTTTAATAGCATGGATGTCAGTTCGATAAAATTTTTCTCTGAAAGTAAAGGAAATGGACTAGGTAATCTAGTACTATGCTTCTGGTACTCAACTTATTCTGACTAACTTTGGCTTCACAGATATAAGCGTAGTTATGTTGGTGAGCTACATAAATCTCTTTCAGGTTTAAAACAACAAACATAAAACCTCAGCTAAATATAGCCTACGAAAACTTTATTTTCATATGGCCTCAATATTCTTTAGGGATGAAAGGTTATTAATATAATGTGTACCATGTATGAATAGCATTTTGAAATTGAAATTGAAGGAAATAATCTCTTTTAGTGTGAGTGGTGCAGTTTGTAACAGATTCTTTAGGAGTTCATTAATGTCACCCCCACAGTCTCTCTATATATTTTCTTCTATTTTATGGTGACTATCTTTACAATTTCATCATCAGTGACCAACAAAATCAGGGGCTATGCATGCTTGCAATGAGCACTTTCCTATTTTCACCTCACTAAATTCCACACTGCTTACCCTTAGGCACAGTAAACCACTCTTAAGTAATTATGCAATTAACAGCTAAAAAGTGGTGTTTAAAATGAGAAAGAAATATTATGGGTTGATATGTAGGGCACTAATTGCTTAGAAATACTCTGAGCCTTCCAAATGAAGCTACTACACCCATAAAATTTGAGTCCGACTCTTGTGACCGTCCCTCCCCCAACTGTATTACCCTCTTCAATTTATAATGGCAGCGACAGCCTTGGTTTCAGGCCATCGACTCCTCCTAACACAGCATTAATCCCTAGGTAATGTCCTGTGACTCAACTGCTACTGCTGAACTGTTGGCTGAACTTTTTGGGCACACACACACACACACACACACACATCGTGAACTCACATGGTCACTGAGGAGCCTGAGAAATATCAAAGCTGAGAAATATTCTGTAGAGACTTTTTTTTTGTATGAGAAGGAAAATGTCCCCAACCAGAAAGATCTCACCTAAGGCCAAGATCATTTACTACTTTGTCACTGATCAACTTTTCACACTGTTTTTATCTTTATGAATTCTTAAAATTTTCTGTTTTATTCATTATTTCCCCTAAGTTAAGTAATTTCAATTATGAAGTTATTTCTTTTTTTTTTTTTGGTTTTTTTCTCCGGTACCAGGAACCGAACTCACGACCTTGCACTTGCCAGGCAGACGCTTTTGCCACTGAGCTAAATCCCTAGCCCCCTGAAGTTATTTTTTAATACTACACTTTTTTTGTACCTGATTGTTAATTCATTTTTCCTGGGACATTTCAAATTATAAAATGACATAATTCTGAATTAATAACCAAAGTTAAGTCTCTGAAGTTATTTTAGGAAACCTAAATGTAATAATTATTCAGTATTTTATTACCTTTGGAGGGTTTTTTGCATGCTGATTTTTAGGGCACTGTAAAATTCTTTTGGACAATAAAGATTTTCAAATATTATTTGTAATGTATTCTTTACATTTTGTTTCAACCAGGAAATTAATTAGATTTAACTTCCTGTCTGTGTGCTGCATGTGTTTTTATGTATAAATACATGCACATATTTATTAATTATAAGTATTGATAATTTATAATAATATATTTTATCTTATTTATTCTTTCATTTAAGTAGACCAAAATGCAGTGTTTATTTTAATGATAAAAAGTATAAAGTTCCCTTACCTGCCCTTAAAACTATTTAGAAAAATGCAAAATCAGCTGATTTAAATTTAATAATTACCTTTTAGCTGACAAAGTGTTCGGGCGTGGGAATGGTTCTCGGCCTTGCTGAATTCTTGCCAGAATGTGTCATTCACAGGTTTTCCTTCTAAAGTAAAGCAGAGGGTTGGTGTGCAGAATTTACAGCAACATCTGTTTAGTAAGTGTAAAAAATTTTAAAATCAAAACACACCACATGGTTGTTTCTTGAGAGGTGACGTAAGGAACTGTGTGGCTCTTTCTGGGGAATTCTACTCCCTGGTGGATGACGCCAGGTGACCTGTGAGCTGTACATTTATTTTCATGAACTATATGAGCACTCACGCATGCATGGTAAAATGCTATTACTCCAGTACTAACTGGTAACTTATGATTGCATTATTTTTGGAGTATTTTCTTTTAGTATAACCAGATTTATACATAAGTTAAAGTATCCTCACCCTTCACATTCTCTGATATTTTAATATAAGTAACTCTGCAGAGAAAATATTGAATTCTGATAGTTTTCATGAAACCATAAAATCTTTGGGTGGTAGGATCATGATTTGCTGAGCTTTGTCCTCATAAAGTAAGACACAGACATACAGAGAAATGAATTGTGCCAAATGAAGAATTTGTATCTCTTCTAGTGGACTTACCAAAAATGAGTCACTCAATATATAGTGTTATATATTGATAAAAACAAGTTTTCAATAACACAACCAAAGCATACAATAGGAAAAAACAAGCACACTGTATTTTTTCTACAGTCACTATTTGCCCTCATTTTTTGCTTATGGGAAAGTCAAGGGATCATCAGGAGTTACGTTTCCAAATCGAAACCCATCGTCTTATACGCACAGACAGACAAATTTGCTCGGACGACAATCTTCATGGAAAATAACATTTTCTCTTGCTTCTTTTCATTTAATGCTATGAACTAATCAAATCATGGCTGATATTCAAAATATTTAATAAGTAGCACTTTACAGGGTGCTGACTAATGAGACAGGACGTGGTCCCGATGGCTGCCACTGCTGGAAGCGTTTCAAAACCAATAGCGGGGCAGAGACCCTTGGAAGATGCACCGCTGAGGTCAGATTGAGCTTTTCAGACTCCACTGGGAAACTGGCTTTGAAATAAAGAAATGAGGATGAGCAGAATCCAAGGCCCTGCTTAGGAAAGAAAAGGAAGAAACAGAACCACAGTTTTGGCACTGCATAAATAAACTGATTTTTGACTGAATAAACGAGATATTTTGCCACTGTGAGTGAATGGTTTATAATGTCTCAATCCCTATATCCTGTAAAGGAAGAAGATGATTTATTAACTTTCTGAAAGTTATTCATAGAATTATACATCTACTTTAGAATTAAAATACAACTCTAACCAATTGTCCTTCTTATTACTGTGGATGATATGATGACAGAACCTAAAGAGACGATCTGGTGTGTAAAATGCTGTGGAGGAGTCTTTTGTAATGAAACTGTTTTCTGCTTCTTTTTTATTTACTTCTAAATTCATACATCTGAAAAAATCTCTAACAGGTCACCTTGACCATGCACCAGCCAAGCTAAATGTGGAGAGCAGGAGGATAATCAGCCAATAAACTACCAAAGAAAATTATTCTTTTTAAATATACAAAGAAATTATCCCAAATAAATTAATGATTTCTTTGTCTAAATCATTTGAAGTTAGAATGGATCCACATTTCTTGTTTTAATTTCTTCTATAGAATTCAAAGAGAACTCATTCTTTCATTTATCACTTATTGTTGCTTTACAGCAGTAGCAGAAGAAAGGAACTTTTAAGGAAACGGAATACATAATTTACACAAAGAATCTTATGACCACTAACCAAATATTTTATTTTCAGATGTAAATCTCCAGGATGACCTAAAAGGATAAAACAACACACAGTTAAATCTAGATTTAATAAATAACATTTTAATCAAACAAACAGAAGCTAGTTTGTGTGCAGTGCCTCTCAAAGCAGAAATGAATTCTTCCTGTAACCTATAATCTTGAACTTTACTGATCCTACCTGGCAATCTTGACTTAGAAATTTCCACGCAACATAGAGACACTAATGCTCAGAAACTCTGATAAAGAAAAAAGTGAGCCATTTCTACATTAACTAAATAGTCAATGAAGAGTCTGTTTGAAATACAATCTTCCATTACTATCTGCAGGGATTGTTTCCAGCACAACTTCACTTCACAGCACCCCTGGAGATACCAAATCTTTAGATACTCAGGTCTCATAAAGAATAACAGAATATTTGCATATAATTTATACACAGGCTCCTGTAAATTTTAGATCATGTCTTAATTACTTATAATACCAAATACAGCATATTGCTTAAATGGAGATCATGCCAAGAAGAGAGTCAGTATATGTTATATAAACACAATTTTTTTCTGAATATTTCCAACTTGAAGTGGATTGAATCCACAGATACAGAACTTGTGGGTTCAGGCCAACAGGAATTCATGTTAACAAACTTAGAATGAATCATACACACTGAGAACAGCACCATGTAATCCTTAATAAAACAATAGATATAGAAAATCGCTGCTAAAGATTTCAGCTAGAAGACTAATGGGAACTTTATGGTAGATGGATCCTTGATAATATCTGAACTCACTGAGCAGTAATACCAGCATGAAAATACAGTTTATGAAGAAGTACATAGTTAGTGAAGATCTTCTTTTAAATAAATAAATAATGCATATATATATATGCACACATATATATATAATAAACATCAAACTTTCATCACATAACATCTCAAGATTTAATTAAAAACTAAACAGTTACAAAAAGCAGAGAGTGCAGAAAAACATATTTTAAAAACATAACAAGGAGCCTAGCAAAGTAGCACACGCCTGTAATCCAAGCCCTCTCAGAGACTGAGGCAGAAAGGGCAAGTTCAGCCTCAGCCTGAGCAACTTAGCAACTTAGCCAAACCCCAATCTCAAAATAAAAAAATTTAAAAAGGCTGAGGATGTAACTCAGTGTAAATACCCTGAGTTGCTCAACCTCCGATGATGGAACGGGGAAAGTTAAGGTATTCAATCCAGTTTCTTCAATAAATAAAAGAAGAAATATATAAATTAAAGGACAATATTGGATTGAGCTTGTTTGAATCCTGTCTCAAACCATTTCTGTAAAGTGCTTGAGATCATCAGAGAAATCTTCACATTGGCTGTATATCTGGTAATGTTATGTTATTTTTCTCATTTCATTTTAGGGATGTGGGATGTTTTGTTTATATATTTTTTTAAAAAGTTCTTATTTTATAATAATACAGATAAAACTTGCAATTATATTTCTGAGATCTGCTTTATTAAAAAAGTTAGTAGGGATGGGGCAGGGAGTAATAAAATGAGTAAAGGTAAAACAAGGCCTATAAGAGGTTGGCATCTGTTCAAACTTGACAATGTGATTTCATCATGAGCTCCTCCTCTACTTAGAATTGAAAACTTCCATAATGAAATGTTTTAAAACAAAATATGGCACTGTGCTGATGCTGATTTGATCATGTTAATCAATTCATGTATATATCCTGTACATAAAACTTTGTGATAGCCTAAGTATTTTCCACTATCAATATTCTGTAATCATTAAATTAAAGTCAAATTCACCCTTTTGTTAAGCTCAGGACTGTATGCAAAAACCTGCATATATATTTATTTTCTTAGCCATTTGGGGAAAAGTTGTTTTAAAATTTGTAACATACAATGCCTAGAACATCTGTTGACATGTAGCAAATGTTTCCAAAAGAAGCTATTCATACTATTACAAAGTGACATAAGCATGCAACAACATGAAATGTTATTCATTTTAGGGAATAGACATTCAAGGAACATGAATCTTCAATGTTATTGTAATAGGTTAGAATCTGAGGAGAACCTTAATCAATATGGTTGATGTTGAAAAGGATCATAATTTGTCAGCATCAGGCACTTTCACTTTAATTTATCCTCTTTCTGACCCTCCAAGTTTTGGTATTCTTTAATCTGTGGACACAACTATCACAATCTGGCAGCAGCAATTTAATTTAAGTATTTGACCTAGAATTAGTAAATTTTCTATCTGTGAATAAAATGAATCGCTACACATGTGGGGCAATAAGACTGACTAGGTTCTCCCAGAGACTGTATTTTTACTCCAATTCACTCCTAAAATGCCAGGGTTGTAGTGTAAGTAGTTAGATGTGACTAGAATACAGCTACATCTGTCTGGCAGGGAATCTAATCTATTAAACATCAAATTGCCTACTTAGGAAAGATCCATTTTCTACCCTTAACAGGAGAAAGCATTGAGTAGGAAAGGGAGCAAAAAATACAGAACACAGAATGAGCCAGGAGAGGTGCAGGGCTGTAGAAAAAAGAAAGCACTCAAGGAGAGCCTCACACCATTTACAATTTGGTCGCCAACCCATCTAAGCATTGCAAAAGCCATTTTCCTGTGTCATCAGCAGTCTGGAAATTTCTCCATACACCGACCTCCTGTCCCCGTGTATTTTTTGCTTATTAGTTAAAATCCCATTACCTTATGTAACATGTGTAAGTCACGTCCTCTGGCAACTCGATATACTGAATGTAAAGCCAGGCCTGACCTAAATAACCCAAACCTCTTTGCAAACACATTTTTGTGTGGATTAGAGGAATTCTTTAGACGATTACTAGGTCACTGATAGAAACATGTTTCAAGTAGGCTCCCACCTTAATCTGAGCCTAGTTTAAATATATTTCTTCTTCTGAAAAATTTAATTTTCAAATCCCTCTCTACAGGAATTTTACAACACAGGATTCCCATGCATCAGCATAAATGGAGCAGTGGTGGCAGAGCAGTGCACACCTAGACGTTTATACGACACTGGAGAAAAGACTTTGGCAGGAAAACCATTAAAATACACACATTCAACATTATGGAACTAAGAGAAATTTTACAAAGTAAATTTGACTTACTTTTTCTTTCTCAGTTTTCCATTCTCAAAATTAGAAACTTCCTGTAAAATGAAACCATTCCAAGAAATCAGAGAACATTGAAGTATCATTTATCCATGAGTACAATTATTTTCTGCCATGCATCTTAGAATCTTGACTCACTTTTTTGTTCATGTTATTTTTCCTCCTTTTATATTTGTAACTTTGAAAAACATAGAGTATAGTTTGTTTGTTTGTTTGTTTGTTTGTTTTTATTAACTGGAGCTTATACCTTATAGTAAGCCCTGGCCAACTGAAAAACAAAAAAGTCTTTTAAATGAAAACACGTAATTAAATCCCCACAATTCCAACCCAACAAAACCAAGGGGAGAGATGCATACAGACAGTGTTAATAACACTGCATAGTACCTTCTTTCCTCCCTTGTGTTTCTAGGGATCAAACCAGGTCTTTGTATATGCTTAGCAAAGACTCTACCATGCTATTGAGCTACTGAGCTATTTATATCCAGCCCAGTATATTCTTTTGAGAAAGAGGGAAAGTAGTTTACCACAATATCCTAAGGATGTAGAAATGCATCTTGATTCATATGACCTTTTCATTCAAAGAAACTAAGTAAGTATTGTATAAAATCTTTTATGCTTTTGGGAGAAGAATGCATTGCCACAGATTTTAGCATTCTTGACAGAGCTTTAAGAATACCTAGGATTTTCTATTGCTCATCCTTTCCTTTGTTAGAGAAAAAAATGTACCAAACATCTACTATTATATATATTACCACATGTGATAGGCAACAGATCACGTTCTAGGAAGGTTTCTTTGTTTTGGCATGGTTGGAATTCATGTACTAATAAAAACTGGGACCATATTCTACTAACATTGCATCTGGAGGGGAAAATCACAGAGATATAGAGGCTTGGAGGAATGGTGAATGGAATTCAGAAAAAAGAAAGTTGTTTCTATGAGTATTACTCAAATGTTTAATCAGCCACTCTGTACATAATCAAATCCAACATAGCATTTCCCTGCATAGTGATCTACATAGTGACTAAGGAAACCAATACCCTAGCCCTTATTTTGTTTCATAACATGGTTTAATTGTCACAAGACATTTGAAGTTTATATTTTCCCACATTTTGTGCAGAGCTATACTGAAAGCACATATGCTGAAATAATCAGTCCTGAAACTTGGGGAAGAAGTCTTAACAAGTTTGAAATGTCACCCACAGGGGGATACATCACTGGGGGACAGGATGTAAAAGATGTAGGAGTCACAAAACAAGCCTTGTGGTAAGCAAGGACTTTGAGGAGCTCGTGGTCAGATTCAATACTTCTCCCATTCTCTAAGCTATTCTGTGCTCATGAATCCTAAAAGAACCCAAACTCTTTCTAAGGTCTTCTATGAAATTCTTTATGTCTTGGTCCAGATAGCCCAAACCTCAGTTTAGCAACTAATTGTAGGCAAGTTTAACCAGCTTTGCAAAGGTCCTCAGGAAGTGAGCATGGCCATCTTTCTTTGTAGAAATGTTTTCTTGTCACACATTTGTAACTTACTCAGAAGGATCAAGTTCTATATTCAGGGATCAAGTTCTATACTCACTCAAGGAACAAGTTCTATACTCACACCATCTACACAATCTGGGACAAATTTGCCTTATTTAGCAGAATCTATTATCTTAAACTTCATTAATTTGTCATATAGATTCAAATAGATCTACTGAGATCATAAATCTTGCACTCTACAAAATGAATGCTACCTTTTGTGAAAATGGAGAAGAGTCTAATAGTCTAGAGTTACCCAGTAGAAAAGGGAGATTTGCAGTAAGGAAAGTAGGAAGCAGTAGATACCCTTTTGTATTTTTAATCATTTGAATCAGAACACTTTTGAATCTACTTATCTTCTGGTTATATCAGTATTTCATTGTCTTTGCTATTAAACAACTTAATTCTGGGCATTTCACAAAACTCATGCCGTTGAGCCTGGAGTGTTGGAACTGAACAAGGTAACTTCTTGTGCTTCAATTTGGCAAAAGCTTCATTCAGGTTAGTTCTTAGAGTTGGATGCTGAACACACTAAACAAGTTAAATATTTTTGATGGCTGATTGTGATAAAAGGGACACAATCAGCTTCTGGACTGAGTTTTGAGAGCACCTGGAACAAGACTGAAATAATTTCAAGGGACAGTGGGTGAGATTTTAGGACATCTACTGTCATGTCCTCTAGAAAATACCCAGTTGTTTCCATTTTTACTGCGAATTGGGGCCATTCAGTTTTTTCCTTGTAGCAGCTCAGTTTAGGTTTGGTTATCTTTGCTTAAAGAATTTTCTTTTAATGAAGACTCTGGGAAAAAACTGAATTTAAACTTCTTTGGACTTCCTACACAGATAAAAGCACTAGCACACTTCTCCTAAGGCACACTGCTTCCTGCAGGGTAAGGAGAGGCAAGCACATTAAACACAGGTCTGAAGTGATGATATGAGGAAAAAGGATTGCTTAAAGGAGGGAACATCTGCTTAATTAGAATAATAGATCTGTTCCCTGAGCACTGTCTAGTTGTAGATTACTACTGGACCTCTGGAATTTTTAGTACTGCTTCTGCCAGACTCAAAACAGCTGTAGAGAATGTAAACTGCTTTCCATCCTGACTTGTGCTTACATAAGCAGACTGTCACGTACTTCAGAGTTCAGACCCTGTGTTCTTTATTCCTGCAGGGACAACCCAAAGAGAGACTACATACAGCTTTATTTTTAGAACTACAGCTGTGTGTGTGTGTGTGTGTGTGTGTGTGTGTGTGTGCGCGCGTGTCTGTGTATCTTTGTGTCTGTGTTCTTGTTATGCTCTGAATTCCAAAAAGAAGACTTCATTTTAGAAAGTTAGTGAAATTATTCTATTTAGTCCATAGATTTGACATTTACCACAAATACCAAGTAAAACTTATTCCTATTAGCTTTCATTTAACTAAGTCAAGCATTAATGATTGATCTTACCTTTCATTTGCCTGGGAATGTGTGACTTAATCTAATTTTCTTTTAAAGAGAGAAGTAAGTGAGAAACAAACAAACAAACAAAATAGAACAGTGGCAGCATGCCAGTATCACAAACATAAACAAATCAAAGCGAGAACATTTAAAGTGATACAGGGTCTCAAGACAAAATATTAGGAATTAAAAGTAGTTGATACATTACACATCTCTATCCTCAACTATGTTACTCAGATTACCAGATGTAAGAATGGAAGATTGCTCAAACCATTAAAGAGAATAAGAATTATTAGATAAAGCATTAGAGATAATACAGAGTTTCATTAGACAAGATGGTAGGAGTTCACCATTGTAATTCCATTGCATATTGTTACCTTCAAATCAGTTGCTCAGATTACCAGATATAAGCATGCAAAATCGATCAGAACATAAAAAATTGTAAGAGTTAACTGTTCATTTCCATACACTATCAGACATCAGCAATACAATTATCATAGCTATTCATATATATATATTTATATTTTGCCTTCTTTCTTTTTTCTTTTTTCCCCCATCCCAGTCATCCCTTCCTTTGAGCAATTTCTTTCCCTTTCGTATCATCTATTGTACATTTTGAGTTTTACCTAGGCTTTCAGGTTCCTACACCAAGGAGACAATATGTTTACACATATGGGTCCAATTTATTTCACTCATGAGTATGGTCTCTAGTTGCATCCATTTACCTACAAAAGCCTCAAGTCTATCTTTTTAAATAGCCGAGTAATACTCCATTGTATAAAAATACCACAACTTTTTTCTCCATTCCTCAGTGGCATCTGGGTTGTTTCCAAGATTTAGCTATAACAAATTGTGCTGCTATAAACATAGGTGCACATATATCGCTGTGGTATGATGCTTTAATTCTTCTGGGAAAATACACAGAAGGGGAACAGCTGTGTTAAATGGGACTTCTAATCCTAGTTTTGTGAGGAATCTCCAAATTGATTTCCACAGTGGTTTCAACAATCTACACTCCCACCAGCAGTGGAGTAGGGTGCCTTTCCCCCAACAGCCTCTCCAGCATTTGTTATTTTTTTATTTCTTGATGATAGCCATTCTTTGCAGGGTGAGATGGAATCTCAGTGTTGTTTTAATTTGCATTTCTCAAATGACTATTGATATTGAACATTTTTTCATGTATTTATTCACCATTAGTATCTCTTCATTTGAGAAGTGTATATTAAATATTAAAACAGTAACACTAAATTTATTAGAAGAGAAAGTAGGTAAAAATCTTGACAACATTGAGGTAGGCAGAGAGTTCATGAACAAAAAGCAAAGTGCACAAGAAATAATTCAAACAATCAACAACTGGGATTTCATCTTATTGAAAAGCTTTGCACATCTAAAGAAATCACCAATAAAATAAAAAGAAAACCCATACATTGGGAAAAAATTTTAGCCAACTGCCCCTGAGACAAAGGATTTCTAACTAGGACATATAAAGAATTAAAAAAAAATCAGGCCCCAGAAATTCAAAAGCTTAATTTAATTATTACTCCTGAAAATTGTTAGGGACACAAAAAATAAACCATAGGCAAACTATCAGTGAATCAGTAGAAATTTAAAAATATGCCCCACATATGCTTTTCACAAAGTGAATGAGAGTAAACTCCAGGAGAAAAGTATTTCCATGTAACTATGAAAATAGGTCAAATTTAAAAATATATATAGACTAGAAGAGAAGATGCTACTTTAAAGAAGAGCTACATTTTACATTTCAAATGTTATCTTTCTATGTTCATGCAGTCATTACAAATTACTGCCCTTTAGGTCTGAGTCGAATACATGCTTGTTTCTTGCATTATTGGGTTATAAACCTTACTTTCAAATTACAAAGCTAAAGGAAAAATGAAGAGACTACCAAGAATTGTGTAGCTTAATGGAACTGTAAAAGGCATATCTGCACAAGAGAAAAATGATTGACAGTAATGTGCACATTAATGGTGAATTTTTAAGCCTGTAAAGCTGATGTGATCTGGCCTTTGATTTGAAAATGAGTAAACTGAGGCCCAAAATGGTAAACTGACTTTTCCAGGGTCAAGTACATGTTGCCTTCTTCTTTATTCTAACGTATTTCTTTGGAACTG